CAGCAGTGTACAAGAACAAAGTTTCCCCTTTTGTAGGGGATGTCAAGACCGGTGGTGTAGTCAAAAAGTCGTTCAGCCAGGTGAGAGCTTCCTAGACTTCCTGTGTCCACTCAAAGCGCTTAGATTTCTTAAGGAGCTTGTATAGTGGCATACCTTGTTCCCCAACGCGAGATATGAAGTGGCTAAGCACCGCCAAGCACCCGGTGAGCCTTTGAGTACCCTTCAGGTTCTTGACTGGTTACATATCCATGATCGCAGAGATCTTCTCGGGGTTGATTTTGATGCCACGCTCAGAGACGATGAAACCCAAAAGCTTCCTCAAGGGGACACCGAACATGCACTTCTTTGGGTTCAGCTTCATGCGGTTGGCTCAGAGGTTGGAAAAGGTCTCCTCGAGGTCCACAATCAGCCACGCAGCTTCACGGGTATTCACAATGATGTCATCAATGTAGACCTACAGGTTGCGGCCGATCTTCTCTCGAAAGCACTTTTGCATAAACCACTGGAACATTGTCCCGACATTCCAGAGGCCGAAAGTCATCGAGGTGTAGCAAAAGGCCCCGAAAGGTGTGATGAAGGAGGTGGCGAGCTGGTCTGAGGGATTCATTGCAATATGGTGGTACCCGGAGTACACATCCAAAAAGCATAGGACCTCGTAGCTAGCGGTTGAATCGACCACCTGGTCAATCCGAGGAAGGGGAACGGGTCTTTCGGACAAGACTTGTTGACCCTTGTGTAGTCGACGCGCATTCTCCACTTCCCATTCTTCTTCTTGACTAGGATGGGATTGGCTAGCCAGTTGGGGTGTTGAACTTCCCTGATGAAGCCCGTGGCCTGGAGCCTGGTGAGCTCCTCGCCGATTGCCTTCTGTTTCTCCTCGTCGAAGTGGCAGAGGCGCTGCTGCACTAGCTTGGCCTCAGCATTGATGTTGAGACAGTGCTAGGCAATCTCATGAGGGATACCGGGCATGTCGGAGGGCTTCCACACAAAAACGTCGGCGTTCTTGCACAAAAACTCTGTAAGGGGCACCTCCATGCAAGGAGACATGGTGGCACCTATACAGACGAGTTTTTTCGGATCCTGGGGATCGATCTGGACTACCTTGGAGTCGTCGACCGGCTAGAATGTTGTCAAAGGGCTCCCCTTCATGCTGTGTGGGGGTCCTTCCTCCAGCTGGCACCGGATCTGGGCAAGGTTGGCAACAGCAATAGCCGCCACAGTGAGTGTCGTGCCATCTTGTTCACAGAGGTAGGCCTCGGTGGTGGGGGAGGTCAAGGTGACGACCCCTATGGACTGGGCATCTCGAGATTCAGGCAGCCGTAATGCGGGATGGCCATGAACTTCGCGTAGCATGGCTGGCCCAGCAGAGCATGATAGGGGCTCAAGAAATCAACCACCTCAAAGTCAAGTGTCTCCTTTTGGAAGTTGGTGGGATCCCCAAACATGATCGAAAGCTGAATGCTCCCAAGGGAACGGCTTGGTGTTCAGGGACGATCCCAAAGAAGGGAGCTCCGCTCAGGAAGAGGCTCTCCCTCGAGATCCCCAAGCAATCCAAGGTGTCGGCATAGGGGATATTTAGGTTGCTGCCCCCATCCATCAGTACCTTTGTGAGGCGAGTCCGCCCGGCGATGGGGCTAACGATGAGCAGACAGCGGCCGAGGCTGGACACATGGCTGGGGTAGTCACGGAGATCGAAGGTGACCGACACCTTTGACCAACGCAGGCGCCAGGGAGGCGATAGGGTCACCATGTTCACCCCCCGCATAGCGTTCCCCGACCATGGCTGGGAGTCCGAGGTTGTTCCTCCCCCGAAGACCACGGGGCAGATCCGGGCCTCGTCGGGTGCGGATGCCCCCATGGTGGATCTCCCAATAGAGGGAGGAAGTGACCTTTCACTGCATTCAGGCAAGGGCTCATGGCTTCCCATGCTGCCGGCGGCGGTCATCTAGTGACCCAGACACCGCCCGTCTTGGCAGATCTGGGCGTCGAGTGGGTGCCGAACCCGCCACGACAGGGACCTTGTCTCCATTATTGGGCGGGGCTTCCGCCGCACTTGCTCCCCGATGGATCTGCGCTGGATCTGACGGGGGTATACTTCGGAGTCCACTTTTGGAGGGGCCGACGGGGGCGATGGCTCTAGGGGCTTGCTGCTCGGCGGCGTGACCTCCCCGAGGGCGTGGAGCTCGCCGTAGCAGTCGGCGATGTAGGTAAGGTCCCGAAGTTGAGGACCTGGCCCAAAGTGATGGCTCTGGCTGTGGTGGAGAACTTGTTGAGGAAGCAGGCGCAACCATCTAGGGTAGCGCCACTTGCTCCGGCGATGAGGCAGGTGGCTCCGGCCACCGTAGAGCGTTGGTCACACTTGACATGCTCCCCTACCTGGCGCGCCAGCTATCGCGGGGTCAAAACCGTGGCAAGCATTGTTGTTCATTGGGTGTTAGAGAGTTTGTGTCTCTGATGGATCGGGTGGACTGAAGAACACAAAGAACATAGAGAGGACGCATGGTTTATCCTGGTTTGGGTTATCGAGGCCCTACGTCTAGCAGCAGATGATCCTTGTATTCAAGAGCACCCAAAATCGGGAGTTATAACAGAGTGTAAGAGAAAGATTTGGCAGGGTATCGCTCGGTGCGAATCCTAGGCTTTGTCACCGGAGTTCGCCTCCCTCCTCGCTGGAGAGGACGAAGACGGTGGAGGAGCTTTGCTCTTGGTGCAGAGCACTAGCAGATTGGTGAGGACTCGAATGATCTGATCAGAATTGCCCTTTCCCTGTCTAGGATCCGACCCTCCCCTTGTATCCTGAGGAAGGTCGGGTACATGGCGGTTTGGGGAAGTTTAGCCTATGGTCTACGTACGCCAAAGTCCAGGAGGGTCTTGCAGCGGCGTGGGTGGACCTTGATGCTGTCGTGAAGCCGGAGAAGCCCTGGGCGTCGTTCGGCTGCCCAGTTCTAACATGCTGAGTGTTAGGCTTTGTCGGCTTGGACCGGCTTCCACCAGGTGCGTCTTTTGGAGGCTTCTTGGCGGTGAAGGCATTTGGCTTGAGGGGTTAACGAGCGGGCCCGAGAGCTCCCGAGCCCCTGAAGCTGGCAGAGGGGTTTTGTCCCCTTGTGTCACGCCTCATGCGTGACCCTGTCGAAGGAGTGGTTGACAGCGCCGCGCCTGCTTGGCAACGCTGGGGAGTTCCCCGAGCCATGGACGCTCTCGGTGCTCCTCTCCATCCCAGGCCTTGGCTAGCGTTGAAGGCCAAGGGGCCAAGGATCGGGTTCACACTCATGTCGATCGGGAGCCTGAGGCTCGGGCGAGCCGCCGAGCACCGAGCAGAGACGAAGGGCGTGCTCAGGCTCGGCCCAATCCTTAGCCAAAAGGTGCGTGCGAACGCACCTAAGGGGTGTAGCACCCGAACCCCCCAGCGATCCTGAAGGGATCGGTCGAGGGGTCTCTTGGTCAGGAATGATTGATCCCGAGGCTTGACATATCCCTATGTTAGGATCTCGTCAGATATCTGCGGCCTGGTAAGAGCAAGACTAATAATACAGCCGACTGCTGGCTGTAAAGATATTTGCAACCTATCTGTCAGTCCATTCATATTGTAGTTAGCTCTTCACTATTAATACACGGCCCACTTGTGTCTCTCACAAAGTTTATTGGTTCTGGTGTCTAACCTGGCTGTAAGCTTACATCTTGTTTCTCATTTCTCTCTCCTCCACCTCAATATTCAGGCCCGTTTGGCAGGGCTTCACTTCACTAGTGAAGTCATTTTTTTTTTGCTTCAGCTCCACGAACAGTTCCACCGGTGAAGCTGAAGCGGTTTTGGTAAACCGTTAGGCAAAATGGCTTCCCTGTGAGAGCATGTTTTTAGGGGCCAGGAGGAGGAGCCGGGAGAAGCCACTTTTTTTTGCTCCATCCCACCCCAAATCACTGTGAGAGCATGTTTTTAGGAGCTTCACAAGTGAAGCTATTTTACTTTACCCCGTTTGGTAGAAAATGGCTCCAAACTGCTCCTGAAGCCGGTGGAGAAGCCCTACCAAACGGGACCTCAGTCTGCTTATAGCCTGATATTATACTTGCTGTTACAACGTTTTTACAGCTTCCAAACTCCCATGTAAACTTGAATGCTGTCAGTGTCTGCTCCAGCCTGCAGGTACGAGCACAGGTCAAAGCTACGAGCCTGGCCAATGAACGAGGTGCAGTGGCTGGTATTAATTGCGGTGCATAGCCATGCACACGGTTTTGACTGAAATCAGGGACCGGACCGCACAGAGCATGGAGGGGATAGGGAGCTTTTTGGTTCAGCGGATCCGACGACTTGACTTTGGAACCTCTCTCTCCATTTCCCACTGGCGACAGAGGCGAGTCTCCGTTTGGCCAAGTCGTACGTGTAGTGCACGCGACGCCCAAACCGTAGTCGATCGCTAGCCCCGGAAAAGCGCGCTAACCCGAAGGCCCGAAGCTTCCGATAAGTTCTGTTGCCAAAGACTTCAGTAAGCTCAGGCGAAGACTTACCAACGCCGGAAGATGGACTTCAGTAAGCTCAGGCGAAGACTTACCAACGCCGGACGCCATCTTTGACGGACAGCTGGGATGGAACCGCATTATCTACGTATACAACGGATCGGATGGAACCGCGTGGTAGCGTGGTCGGTACCTATATATATTTATAAATAAAGAAGGACCAGTAGTACTCCAACCATTCTGGTTTGAGAGGCGCTTTAGAAGTTTTCACCAAGATCAAGGAGTCTTAACTCCCTTCAATCCCTATCTATTACTCCCTGCCAAAAAAAACTGTGTTCTCCATCCATTCATCCATTGGCTGCCCATGTTGTAACTACTCGCCGTCCATGCACATGTGAGACTCCCTGGCGTTGGGAAAGAAAGAGAAATAAATGTTTTGCATGGGTGCATGAGGAAGGCTGAGGTCGAGTAACTGCGGCCGAGACGTCCAGAGTTCATGCGCCTCTGAATACAGAACACTTTTCCAGAGGTCACGCGCCTATCAAACCAGAATGGCGGGTGCGGTGGCGTTCTCTCTGGTGATTCTTCTTCATTGGTCTCCAAGTTCGTCGACGCCCGTGCTAGCATCCGGACCTGCAACAAGAAGCATCAAGCCTGGAGGAGGGAACAAGAAAGTGGAAGCTTGCCCGGCGAGCTGCGGCAATCTGAGCTTCGACTACCCATTCGGCATCGGACCGGAGTGCTCCAGAGGACCCGATTTCAGGCTGACCTGCGACGACGCCACTCGGCCCCCCAAGCTTTTCTTGGCAGATGGCATCACCGAGGTTATCGACAGCATGGCCATGGACATTGACTTCGACGGGAGTAACTACTACAAACCTCGCAATCAAATCAAGACCTCCATCTGGCTTGTCGTGCCCATGAAATCCGGTGTCCGTGTGTACAACCTATCACTGGAGCCCCCTGGAAGGTCCTTCTCGCGTGACTCCGCTCGTCTAAATATTACTGGCTGCGACCTGGATGTGTACTGGGTCAACCAGGTTGCTGGGAGAACCACTTGGGCTTGTTCCACTTGGTGCCACGGCGAGGAAGAAATCACGGAGATGGCGGCTAGGCACAACTGCACAGGCATCGGATGTTGCACTATTGAAGTGATTGATGAGGGGGAGCTTAATGGGGAGAGCGTCCAGGAAGATTTCCGGCTTAGTATCGTCGTCCATGGCCACAACCAAAGCGGCAGCATCGGCACCTCGAGATTCAACCGGACCTCTCTATTGCGGGATAGAATCACCGTATCCAGTGACGACGCCATGCTCCAGTGGAGCATCGTCGATGAACCCAACTGTCTCGCCACCAGCAAAAGCCATAAGAACTACGCCTGTATCAGCAACAATTCCATTTGCTACGACCAAGGCATGACATCAAGCCAAGGCTACCTGTGCCTATGCGACATAGGCTATACAGGCAACCCCTACATTCGGGATGGTTGCACCGAGGATAATAAAGGTAATAATATTCTTCATACCTACACCTTCAATCTTTCTATTACTACTAATTAGAGCCTCTAAGAAGACTTTAAGTTAATCATCAGCAAACAGAGGCCCCAACAAAGCCTTTATGTTAATTCTTCTAAAAAATATCACAATGATTAGAAATATCTTACCTTTCATTGAGTAGACTCTAATCATTAACGCTTATAATAGTCATTGGATCTATTCTGTTTTATATAAAAAAACACCTTCACCATTATGAGAAAACACATAAAATAATAAATTAACCACCTCTGCCAATGTGAAAGATAATTTAAATTGACCCCTAAATTTGTATATAAATTACTTACATCTATCACTATGAAAGAACTTCAAAATAACTCCTAAAATTTGCATCTAAATTAGCTACATCTTCCATTATGAAAAGATAATTCAAAATAACTACCTAATTTTGTATCTAAATTACCAACCGCTATTATTATGAAAAATAATTTAAAATACCCTCTTAATATTATTTATAAATTACTCACATATGCCATTATGAAAGATACAAATTGGCTTGGATGCTTTACTTGTCAGTGTGAAAACATCATTGTGCAAACCCCCCTTATTCTCTAAGAATAAACGTTGCATAAAAAATTAATAGGTTGATATATATGTACACTGTCATTTGGAACCTGAATGCATGCTAACACATTTTTGTTACTGAAACTAGAGTACAATCCAAATCAAAGAAGAGCTGACTGTACCCGTCAGTGTGGAAACATCAGTGTGCAATTCCCATTCGGCTTAGAAGAGGGTTGCTTCGCTAGGAGACAGTTTCGTCTCTCATGCACAAATGCAACATCCTCAGGCGTCCTTAACATGGAAGACGACTCTCCATATCGGGTGATCGATTTGAATGTTAACGAAGGGACAATTAACTTCACCAATCTTGACCAGGAAATAGGAGATTTTTACGCCTTGGTTATTGCTGGAGGTTTGAATCTTTTTGTCGGTTATGATGTATCCACCTCTCTGCAATGGGTTGCTGCAAATCTAAGTTGCACCGAAGCTAAACAGAATATATCTGAGTATGCTTGTGTGAGTATCAACAGCAGCTGTGTGGAAGTGAACGCGTTGAGCGGCTACTTTGGATACCACTGCAAATGCCCATATGGCTTCAAAGGAAACCCGTACATTCAAAATGGTTGTCAAGGTACCTGACTACCCGTCATATCTTCATTCTCTCTCTCTGTCTGTCAAATTTTGTTTGCGGGATCTCTTTTCTTTAAAATTGTTGTCACATGTCAGGAAGATCTGGTTTGCAGATGTTGATGAGTGCCTTCAGCAAGACATTTGTAAGGGAAGAGTCTGCAGTAATATAGAAGGAGGCTTCACGTGTACTGAATGCCCTCGCAAGACTGAGTATGATCCCACAAAAAATCAGTGTACTAGAACAAAGCAGCAGGTTCTGTTCAAAGGTAAGCCAATGTTGCTGTTATTAAGATTTATGTTTCAAATAAGGTAGAGGTAATATTTGACTCCTGAAAAAATCATGTATATAAGGAGATCACGTCTATATAGGTATTATGATTGGACTTTCTGGTGGATTCAGCATTCTACTCCTGAGCTTTGTTGCATTATTTCTTTTCCGAAGATGGAAAAAGAATGTTCAAAAGCAACTACGGAAGAATTACTTCCACAAGAATCAAGGTATTCTCCTAGAACAGTTGATATCACCAGACAAAACAATTATTTTCCCCCTAGAAGAGCTAGAAAAGGCAACAAATAACTTTGATCCCGCACGCATCATTGGACGGGGTGGCCACGGGATGGTTTATAAGGGCATTTTATCTGACCAACATGTTGTTGCAATAAAGAAGTCTCTAGTCATTGAGTACAGTGAGATCAGGGAATTCATCAACGAAGTTGCAATACTTTCTGAAATAAATCACAGAAACATTGTGAAACTCTTTGGATGTTGTCTCGAATCTGAGGTTCCATTGCTGGTATATGACTATATTTCCAATGGGTCATTGTCTCAAGCTCTCCATGCTGAATCACGAAATGATGTTTCTTTGGTTTGGGACGATTACATAAGAATCGCCACAGAAGCTGCAGGTGCTCTATCATATCTCCACTCAGCCGCTTCAATATCAGTCTTCCATCGTGATGTGAAATCAGCAAATATACTCTTGGATGGGAACTACACTGCTAAAGTTTCGGACTTCGGCGCTTCAAGATTGGTTCCAGTTGGTCAAACACACATTGATACCAATGTACAAGGTACATATGGTTACTTAGATCCTGAGTACGTCCATACGAGGCAGCTAAATGAGAAGAGTGATGTGTATAGTTTCGGAGTGGTGCTACTGGAGCTGCTTGTTAGAAAGAAGCCAGTTTTCAAAAGTAACTCAGGCTGGGCTCAAAGCTTGTCAAACTACTTTCTTGAGGCATTGAAAGAGAAAGAAATCACTGATATAGTTGACTCACAAGTTGCCGAGGAAGCAACCAAGGAGGAGATCAGCAGCGTTGCCTCTCTTGCGGAGATGTGCTTAAGATTATATGGTGAAGAAAGGCCTACAATGAAGGAAGTGGAGATGGAATTGCAGATTTTACAAAAGAAACGGGCGAGCTCTGGGCAAAGTAGCCTGGAAAATGAGGAGCAAAATGAAACAATGTTGCCAGCTCGAAGAGCTGAAGCTACTTGCCAAGCATTTGCCATAGAACCTGGTGAGGGAGCCAATTTACCACTGAAACACAACCAACGATGTTCTAGTTTGGAGGAAGAGATCATGGAATCCGCCACCCTACCACACTAAATGTGTTTACTGATTTGAGTATCGCTCGCCAGCAGGCCTCCTAATTGCGCGACTGTTCATAACCAGTATAGTTAATGGAACTTTATATATAGTTGTTCTTTCTCATTAGCATAAACATTTACTCAGAGTTTCGGAAAACTTTGAGATTGTGTAAAATTAATAATAATTTGATGTATCGCTTACCTTTTTTCGATACACATGTGAAATTTGATGTCTTCGACTCTCCTAATGGGCATGGCCTTCGATGAGCCTGCATTGTTGCTGCACGTCAAGCAGCACGATGCAGCATATCATTCGCATCTGGCTGTTGATTTGCGGCTCCCTCCGTCATCCTTGGCGTTCAGCTCTTGCCACACCTCACCCACTAGCAGGAGCACCCTAAATGCCCTTTTTAGGGGAACTCCATCCCTTTTGTTGTCCCTTGTATCCATAATGCCCTAATGTAAACCACAATAGCACAACAATCAGCTGATATAAAAATCCTAGTTGGCAACTTACACAAGATCGAGGCATGCCGCAAGATGGAGACTGTGACCGTGCATTTTTCGATTTGGAGTTTTGATGGCCTTTCGATTCTAGAATTGAGTTATGAGTAGATGGCCTTTTGATTCTAGAATTGGGTGGCCTTTTGATTCGATCTATGTATATGTTGTTTTGTGTACAAACTAGAAAGGTGTTGAAAGATTGAAGGATCCTTTAAAAGGAGGATGCCAATCACAAAACATCAGAACAAGCCTTGAGAATTATCTATGCACTGAGAATGTTTAGGTTGCGCTGATTAGCTTTACGCTTTGAGTCTTTGCGCATTTTCAGCACCTTTTCTCTGTTATTCTACTGTGTGCCTGCAAAACACTTATTCTCCAATACATCTAGAAATACATTAATATAAATAAAATATGCGAGTAACATATGTTAGTTCTCCTCTATTTTCATCTTATTTGGCAGGCAGATTTGGTACGCAGCTCAATTGAAAGTGACAAACTACAGATGTATGATTAAGATCACGAAAGTGGGGTTTCACAACCGATGATGGCGAATGTTCAAAGACAGATTGATCTAAAGCAAAATCCAAACCCTAATGTGGGTGGCGGCTAATGATTATAAGGTCTAAGGGTTGTCACAACCCCTGGATGCGCCCCCTAACGGGCCCTAAGACGATACACGGCCCAACGGACTAAAAGACGGTGACGCAGCACCCTGACAGATTCTGAATGCTGACTTGTTTTGACGATCCCATTGACTCCGATGGAATTTATACTACAAACCAAAGACTATTAGTTAGATTATGAAATTAGGTTTCCATTCATATGTGGATCGTCGGAAACGGAGTACAGATGCGTCCTGCGCTTCCGTTTTACTACACGTTGGTCCTAAAGTCCGAGGCAGACTCGAACTCGAGTTGGACCGGGCCTCCGGTTTGTGTTGGACGTCCTTGCTGGTCTTCTCTTCCTCCACACCTCTCTGCATGTACCTGATGACCCTCTCCAATGTTTCTAAGCAAGATAATATCATTAGGCAGCAATCTACTCTCAAAACTATGAAAAGGATCGCTTAGGAACGAGATCACCTCTTACTTTAATTGTCGCATTCGAGCTCGGGTCATTAGACCTTGCATAATGGTTGGAGGATCAGCTGGTGCATCCGAAAGAGTGATATCCTGATCATCCTCCCCCTCTTGAGGTAGAGTCATCCTTGACTCAAGCTCATCTTCTTCTCCCAAGTAAGGCTTCAAATCTGCAATATTAAATATAGGACTAACCCCGAACTCTGGTGGCAACTTAAGTTTATACGCATTGTCATTGGTTTTCTCAATTATCTTAAAAGGACCACCAGCTCTCGGCATTAGTTTAGATTTATGCAGCTCTAGAAACCTACCTTTTCTTAAGTGCAACCAAACCAAATCACCCGGCTCAAGTTTAACTTCTTTTCTACCTTCACTACCAGCAATTCTATACTTTTCATTCATCTTTTCAATATTTGCCTTAGTTGTTTCATGCAATTTAAGAATAAATTCAGCATGCTCTTTAGCATCATGATGTGTTCTCTCATTGGTAGGTAAAGGCAAAAGATCAATAGGAGCATAGGGGTTAAATCCATAGGACTTACCTTGGTGGTGGATTATTCCGCCCTGTTATATGCAAACTCCACATGCGGCAAATACTCTTCCCATATCTTCAAATTGCGCTTCAATATTGCTCTCAACATGGTGGACAGTGTTCGATTCACTACCTCAGTTTGTCCATTAGTTTGGGGATGACAAGTTGTAGAAAACAGTAGCTTCATCCCCAATTTATTTCACAAAGTGCGCCAAAAGTGTCTCAAGAATTTTGCATCATGATTTGAAACAATAGTGTAAGGTATACCATGCAAGCAAACGATTTCTTGAAAGAATAGTTCAGCAATATGAACAACATCGTCTCTTTTATGACAAGGAATAAAATATGCCATCTTAGAAAAACGATCAACCACCACAAAAATACTATCCCTCCCCTTCTTAGTCCTTGGCAATCCTAAAACAATGTCCATAGATATATCAGCCCAAGGAATAGAAGGAACCGGAAGAGGCATATACAAACCATGTAGGTTCAGCCGCGACTTAGCTTTTTGACATGTGGCGCACCAAGCCACGAACCGCTCTACATCTCGCCTCATCCTTGGCCAAAAGAAATGTGTAGCCAGCACCTCCTCCATCTTCTTGGCACCAAAATATCCCATCAATCCTCCTCCATGTGCCTCCTGCAACAACAAAAGACAAACAAAACCAACTGGAATGTATAGGCAGTTAGCTCTAAACAAAAACCCATCATGTATCACATATTTGTTCCATGTATGTCCCTCTTTACAATTTTCCATCACATGTTTAAATTCATCATCATTAACATATTGTTCTTTAATTGTTTCTAGTCCAAATATATGACAATCAAGTTGGGATAGCATAGTATATCGTCTAGAAAAAGCATCAGCAATGACATTATCCTTCCCTTCTTGTGTTTGATGACATAAGGAAAAGATTCAATAAATTCAACCCACTTAGCATGCCTACGATTCAATTTGTTTTGACTTCTAATATCTTTTAGTGATTTATAATCAAAGTGAATAACAAATTCTTTAGGCCATAAATAATGCCGCCACGTTGCTAATGATCGAACAAGAGCATACAATTCTTTATCATATGTGGAATAATTAAGAATAGGCCCATTTAATTTCTCACTAAAGTAAGCAATGGGTTTACCTTCTTGCATCAAGACGCCACCAATGCCAACTACACTAGCATCATATTCAAGCTCAAAAGTCTTACCAAAATCAAGAAGTTGCAGCAATGGCGCGTGAGTAAGCTTGTCCTTCAAAAGAGCAAAGGACGCTTCTTGTTCTTCTCCCCAATGGAACGCAACACCCTTATTTATCAACTCATTCAATGGGACAGCAATGGTGCTGAAATCCTTCACAAAGCGGCAGTAAAATCCTATAAGTCCATGAAAACTCCACACTTGTGTCACTGTTGTGGGCGTTGGCCAGCTTTGTATTGCCTGCACTTTGGCTTCATCTACCTCAATTCCTTGTGAGGTCACAACATAGCCAAGAAACGATACTGGTTCAGTGCAAATGCACTTCTTGAGGTTACCAAATAAACGTGCAGCACGCAAAGCATCAAACACAACACGTAGATGATTAAGATGTTCAGTTAAAGACTTGTTGTATATCAAGATATCATCAAAATAAACCACCACAAATTTACCAATGAAAGGACGTAAAACCTCATTCATTAATCTCATGAAAGTGCTAGTGTTGGTATTTATTAATGTGAGTTTAGAAGATAGGAATTCTACAAGCGCACAGTATACCATTGCAGCACTTCACCGGGAGTATTCCAGGTATCATTATTTATATTTTACCAAAGGGAGGAGCGATGGCAATGAAGAGATTGATAAATATATACTTATGATGAAATCAATAGATAAACACTTACTCTAACCAGGGGTAAGTCCAAAAATATATATATGATAAGTACACGACAATTCAGAGAAAGAGATAGATACTCATCAAGAGAGAAAGATTCCTAAGTTATTTCTAATCAGCATGTCGAAGCATACAAAGGTATATATACTTTATCTATAGCAATGGTTAACTCTCCATCTATGCATAAGGGACATCTCTAAGGACGAGCATAGCAGAAATATAACTTCCTCCATCGTGACATGGGTCCTACTAGTCCTACAGACAGGGGTGGACTATAGAGGATCAACAAGGCTATCACCCTCATGATATACCACAATTCTCGGAATGGATGGTGCATCCACAAGCAAAACAATGTATAAGCACCACGCTTACACAATGTCTAGATACTCAACCCACTCGAGTACTGAGTCGAGCGCTCTGTGAACCTATGCATAAACTTAAAGATAACTATGACTATATCAAGTATATTTCCAAAGTAGGCTAAGAACATAATAAACAGAAACATAATACAGATTAAGATCAAAGTCATGATAAATATGAAATATAAAGGATACAATGGTTATACCAAGCCGCCAGAGATGAATCTGGAACCTCGAGCAGTAGCCCTACTCTACTTGAATTTTACTTTAGCTAGACTATACTAAAACTCTAGATATTGGAGATCTTCTCTTCTCTTCTCTTCACTTCTCTTTTGAATTGTCTATGGTTCCTTTCTGAATCGAATGCCTTTCTGGAGGGGCTCTGGGGGGTCCTTTTATAGGGGGCACCCAGCACCCTGTGGGCCCATGAATCAATGGCATGGCTCCATCTCGACTCTCCGTTCCTAACTGACTTGAATGCATGGTGGAGATTGATCCTTGGAGGCGGTGGAGGATCCCTGAATCACGGGAGGTAGAAAGGTGGGGATAGGGGGTCGACTGACCCCCTGGTCTCCTCTATCATCGATCTTCGTCGATAACTCTTGTATGGTGGATTGGAGTCCAGTGGAGTCGGTTTCATTGCGGATAAACTTGATTTGTTGAGATAGCATGGCCCACTTGGTC